CAACCAAACAAGCAATCACTAAATCTTTTCCAACATAATCTGGAGGCATGGGCAAAGCACTAGCTACACCTTGTACCAGATCATCTTGAATCTAAAGGGCAATATATGGAAATTTTATTGGATCCATTGAAATATTATTAATTCCAAGCCCGATCAACACACAAAACCATGTATCTCAAACCAATTTCCAATAACACCTCAAAAGTACCAAAATGCTATTTCTCCCTCTGTCCCCTTTCCTTCAATATCTTCTCCCTAAAACCCAGGTAACATGATTAGAGAAAGTTTCGAAATAACTTGAATATTATTTTTAAAAAACACCTTTTTAAAATTTATTTATTCTTTTTATTACAAGCTTAGCTTTTCCTTTTACCATGATTCAGTTGCTTCATGAAAAGGTGTCTTCGTGAGAGAATTGAGCAATAGGACAAGCAAAATGATGTGGGATATTAGACTAGCAATCTCGATATACAAAAGGTACCTTATTTCTCAATACACCATTTACTAGAATATTCAAAATTTTTCATTTAAACTTAGAATTCCTTTCTATACACAGATCAATTGAAAAAATATTGGGTATGTTAAGCGCTCCAGACCTTGAACAAAGTAAACTATAGATCACCTGATTAAACACAAATAATCACATAACAAGGGATGCAAAGCATCCTTCAAAAGTACATCACATGAGAACAGCAAGGTAGAAATTAAACAGCTTTTCCTACAAATACACTCAAAACTGTAGATAACAATAGATGTATTTCTTATAGTGTAAGATATGCGCTACATTGAGAATGAAACAATAGGTCCAAAATGCAAATATTCAGTCAGAAATAGGAGATTGTTTAGTTCGTTAATATCATAAAGTTAATGGCAATATGAACAAGGAAAAGAAAAACTTACTTGAGAACGTAGAAGAATGATATCACGTTGAGTTTCTTCAGTGTCATATGTGGATGCTAGATGTTCTCCAATACTATCACAGACATAGGCAAAAAGGACATCAGTCACAAATGATATGGGTGTCATTGTCCCTTCAATGTTGAGCAGAATACAACACTTCATTAAGAACACTATTAGGTTAAAAAAAAATACCATACATGTTATTTGATCATTTTGTCTTTGTAGAGATAGTTAAATAAAAACATATGAAGCAAATAGTTGATAACAAAATGTTTTGAAATTTTACTATTAATTGTCTCAAAAAATCTATGTTGGAAGGCTCAATCATGTAATCTAGAGCTCTGCGGATATTCCCACAACCCCAATCTCCATTGAAACTACAATTTGGACCATGATTTGGAGAAGACCAGTTAAGCCCCAGTTGGTGAAGCATGATAGCAGCATCAAAAAGATAATGGTAACATTCAGCCTAGTTTTAAAAACTTAAATATTAGGAAAACATACAAAAGAACATAATGGGCTTTCTCTTTGTACCAGAAAATAAGATGCTACCAGCCTTAACCTTAACTCAAACAAATATCAAGGTTTACACTCAGAAAATCGGTGCAATGAAGTTATGCTTAGACTACAAGAATTTAAAAATTATTTAACTTTAAAAATAAGCAGAATTCAAGTTTTAAAATAAAAAGGAAAAACTACAAAGTCATATAAAAGGAGAGACACAAAAACGGGAAGCAAGATATTCATCATTGCATTTTAGAAATTAAAACCTAGTTCTCAATATTCCAACCTGAGTTTTGGCACTTATCCATGAATCTCCCCATATAAACACTCCATGGTTGCGAACAAGTACAGCTCTTGTTTTCCAGCTCTTGTTTTCAGAAAAACTCTTATCTATAAAACAGAGTTATGAGAGACATGTGTAATAGGCTGAATAGGCAACTTCCATCACAAGGCTAAAATCAAGCCTATTGTTTCGAACTCAAATTCAAGCCAACAATTTTGGTGCAGACTAATTCAAAGTTCAAATACAAGAGAAAGTAGGCCAAAGTCATATACACAGTTCAACTTTGCTCATAAAACTACAAGTGCTACAAGCCAGTCCAACATGGCCCTTCTTGTTAAATGCAGCAAAAATTTTTTGTAGAAGCAAGACAATTAATCCATTGGTTTAACATGCAAATAAATAAATTTTAAAAGAAGCAGCTTAAGAATTAGAACATCAAAACAGAAAATGAAAAGTTAATTATCAATCAGAAACGGAGAAGGATAAAGATTTAACGTAATCAAGGTCAAAGCCAAACACATGTTGATGACAATTCATGCTTCTTCTCAATATTAACATTTTTTCCCTCCTTTTGTTGCCATCAAATGGCAGAATGGAGCCCCAAAAATCCTCCCGAAAGTATACAACTCTCATTCAGTTTCATATATCCTTTTAGCCACTAACATAAAGGCTTTTCAATATGAAGTTTACCCTGTTCTACGACACTAGGCTTGAGAATTCTTCTTTAAGGTAGCTTTTGTTTCTTATGGAATATAATGTTAATAGACAATAGGCCTACATGTATCTTATTGTACAATTAAACAAAGATAAGAAGCTACCATGTCAGTAAGAAACTCCCTGAGCTCTCCTTCAAGTGCAGTGTTTTCAATTATTGGGACCACAAGCTCATCATGGTAACCATGCCCTTGAATTCCTTTTATCATCTCCATATGAATAATCCAAAAATATTGAAAAAGAAAATAAGTAAAAGACAGAATAATTAGATTTGAACTAGTTGCAGTATATAAATGAGAAAACTTGACTAAATTATTAAAATATAAGAGCTTGCAATCATTTTACAAATTGTACCAAGAAAGGAAAAAAAAAATCACCAGCAATTTTTAATCTTTATGATCGATTAATTTCATGCAACCAATAAATTGTAGAATATAATTCAAGCTTAGATCAAATATCTTTTAATATAATTAGATTGTGCACTATGGTGCATGCATACCATAACCTCCCTTCTTTTTCTAGGTGAATCACAAAACTTCTAAAATTACAAGATTTTTTTCATCTGCCAAAAATTAAGAGTTAACATGCAACTCTTGTCTTTCATGAAAAATTAGTTTGTATAAGCTCAAATATGGATATACAACCAAGCATTGTATACTCAAATGTTCTGTAATTAACTTTGGTTAACAAAAGTACCAAGACCACCCCTCATAAAAAAGTTTTATATTTTACAGGAAGAAAAGAAAGTTTTATTGTTGTCTCAATTAAAAAAAAAAAAAAATGTCGAGTGTCAATAGATGACTTGAAACTCCTTTGAAAAAGGATTGATCATTGTCACAAGACAAGCTTCCATTCCATGACTATGGATAACAGCACCAGCATTACACATTTCATAAACTTGGAGAATGCACAGAAGATTCCTATATAGCAATTGTGGGTAAATATAAAACATAAACAGCAAGAGCAAGGAAGAAATAAACAAATTTCTATTTAGTAACAAGCAACGATTTAACCATCCCCATTGCAGAAAGAATAAGCTTATACATCAGCAAACCATATCAATGTTTTTAGTGATTAGGGGGAACAAATTTAAAGAATATTGTTGGGGCTTCAAACTGGCTAATCATACCTTCTTTAACTACTTAAAGTATTAAACAAAACATAATCTACTTTGTTAGGAACAAAAACGAAAAAATTCCCTATCATTCCTCCTTATTAAAAAAAAAGGTGAGAAAACAACAGCATCAAAATGCAAAGAAAGAAGAAAAGCAGAAAGTGCTCTTCAAATATCTAATGATCCATATAGCATTAAAAATTATATCAGTGCAAAACCAGTAAAAGTCTGACATCAGAAACGTAACAATCACCTCCATGAAGAGAGGTGCACATTCAGTACACTTAGAAGGTGGATAAGGATATGGTTTAAGAGAAGGCACTGACAATATAAATCATCTGAAGACATCACATACATATCCTCTGGCACCATTCTTTCCTTCTAAACACCTACATCAAACAAAAATCTTGACCAAAGGAAGTGACACATTAAAAATTAACTAGAAAAGTCTGAAAACAACTCATATGTTAGTATCATGTGCTTAGTCAGCAATTCAGCATATGCCTCAAATAGCAAATGATTATTGATGTAAACAAGCTACCCTTAAAAAAAATGTGCAAAAGACCAATATCTTAAGGAGAACATTGATTCAGTATACCTTTGACGCAATGCTTATGAACCCAAACTTGAACTTGATAAAGTATCAACAACTTAAATGAAGAACAACTGAATTCTTATTTGTATTCCTCTTTTGCAACACATAAATTAAACATCAAGTTAGAACTTCGCACGGATGGGCCAAGCTACTTGATCTAGTAGAAATATAGATTGCTAAACTTTACTTCAAATCATTTTCATATTCTTTTCTTTCTATTCAGTGTTATGCATAAATGTCTAGTAATAAAGTATCAACCCATTCAATAATGCATGCCTGTCAATTTAACTTCCAATTTATACAATTCATGCACATAATTAACTCACATATACACTTAACAACAATCTGTTTGTGTTGAGAGACAGAAATACTAGAAAGAGACATGACAATAAGTTGGTGAGATCTGGGAACAGACTCATCATGTGCTTTGATGGTGACACTCCCACCAGTGCCTAATACCCAACCTCGTGTGTAGAAATGGCGGCACCACCCTGCAACTAATGCCTTTGTGTCATCGACTCCTTTGCTCTCTACACATGCTGATGATACTGTGGCACTCTTACCTTTCAGAACCATTGACTATGATTGTTTCATCTCTCTTGAACTACCACTAACTACATCAACATTGATAGCCACTGATGATGATGGTTATAATGATTCCATTTTCTTGCCTAAAAATGATTTTGAGAATGGAGAGAATAAGGAGCTTATTGAAGCAGATTTCTTAACAAAAGGAACCAACGTGATATCTTCAAAAAAAAAAAACACCAAACGAACTAACGAAGTTTACTAGAATAGATTAATAGAAATATACCAATATCTTCTTTGAAAGATTCAATTTTAATGTGCTAGCTATAGCCACTAGAAAAGTAAATGAAAAATGATTCTAACACCTGGTCGAACACGCAGATACGCACTATACATTAGGATTTAATTATAAAAATATAATTTAAATAAGAAACATATATTCTTTAAATTTTTTATTTTTAATTTTAAATTAAACAATAATAATTTCTTTTAAAATCAGAAAAAGTAAGGCGGTGGTATTTTCCTTCCACTCAAAATAAAGACCTGTTTGTGTTTGAATCGTATGGTATCTGGACTAAATAAGCTAAAAGATCAGAAAAAATTTTCTTTTCTTGTATGATTAAAATAAAATAATAATAATAATTTTTTAATAGACGGTGGCATGGGATGTGGTCCTAACTAAATAGGGGAAAATGAAGAGGAATAAAGAAGACAAACCATCACACCATT